TAATCCACATAAGAATGCATTCCGTTCTGGGAGCTATATGCAGCCACAGATGGAGGATATTTTTATTCCCAGTGATAGGTAGAGACTGATATCAGCAGAGAGAGAGAAACAAACAGCCAGACAGAAAGGAGGATAGATGGGTATGTAAATAGATAAGGAATGAAAATATTCACCACAAACCAGGGCCATATCTCTTCTGATTCCTGACACCTACATTAGTCTATATTTAACCAATGGAATGTTCTAGTGTGGTCAGACAACATCCAAATGACCAAAAATATTGCTAAATTGGGTAACCATGTCTTTACTTAAATTAAATTTACTGCCATATGTCTTTATACCAAGTTTAACTCAAGTGATGGTATTTTCAGTTGCTTCATATGCTTGTGAAAGTTGAGCATTGAATAAAGAAGAGTAAAGAATCATTGCATGTGAATTGTGGTACTATTGAGGAATATTGGAATTACCATGGATCGCAGAGTAAAGGTTAACTGATACACCACCAGCAGCAGCAGCTCCTCAAGAGAAAGACTGGACTTTCTATTCCTGTAAATCGTTACAGTCTTGGAAACCCACAGGGCGGTCACTATGAGTCAGCATGAAGTTAACGGTAGTGGTTTTGTTTTGGCCAAAGGAACAAACAAATCTTTCTTGGAGTAGTACATACAGAATATTCCTTAGAAACAAGGATGATGGTACTTCATCTCACATTTTTGAACATGATATCAAGATAGACCAGTACTTGGAAAAGGGTGTTATACTTGGCAAAGTAGAGGACAGTCAAATAGGGTAAGGCCCATGAGGAGATGGACTGACACAGTCACTTCAATAATGGGCTCAAACTTATGAACTATAATGAAGATGACTCAACATTGTACATTGTTTTGTTGTTTTGCGTACAGGGTTATGAGTTGGAAATGAATGGACAGACCTAACCAAAAAAACATACACATAATGTGGTAGTTACATAATCTGCTGTCAGTTTTAGACTTAAGAGTGAAGGAATAGTTTAGCCTTCAATCAGGTCACAGCTTGATGATCTCATTTGGAGGCACTAAGGAGATAAATAGCTCACTGGGGGTGGGACACACACACACACCCTGTTAGACATTACTTTTGACAAGCCACATGGAGAAAGGCTGATGGAGCCAGAGCCCTGGGAGTTGTAGGAGCCATGTGGAGACCCCTGCCAGCGCTGACGTGCTTGCTTGTACTGCCACTGGTTTCAAAAGACTTTCCACCCACTGGCCTGTGATCTTCCTGAATTTGGCATTATTGCTTGGCTGTGTGTGTGTAACAAGGAATTTATAGACTAGTATTGCACATCTGGTCTAATATTGCGCTTATGGACTTGATCTGGACTGGGCTGGGATATTTTCTTAATATTCAATTGCTCTTGTATGTAAAGCTTTTTTCTCATACACATATGCGTGTCTTTGAATTTGTTTCTCTAGTCTACCCGGACTAACAAACACAATATGCCGAAACCAACATCCATTGATACTTAGATCCTGGAAAACTTATACTTACACAAATTCATACAAAGTTCTCACACAGGATATTCATACAAGACTTGCATATGAATGAGACAAACAAGAATTGAAGAGATATTGAGAATATTGAAGCACATGATGAACTCCCTTTCATGGTTATGAATTTTACTAGTTAAACTAACTGAATACAAGCTCAATGTATATACTACCTGTATCATCACCTACTTGTGTTCTCCTAGAGGCAGGCTGGAAATTATTCACAAGGCGTTTGAAGGAGCTGAGCTTGGAAATCATCCCAGATTTGTGGTCTCTGGATTAGCAGACTAAATAAAATGTGGTCTTCTCTGATGTCTTCAAAAGTGCCACCACGCTGTATGTTAACATGGTTAAAAAGCAATGAGCATGTTAAGTAATATGTTCCTGAATGGAGAGATAGAAAGGTAAGTTAGTGGTGCCCCGCTTAAGATAAATAATAATGATATCTTCAAAAAGACCTGTTGTAGAAGCAGGACATCCAGAATTCTCACTGGAAGTTAAGAGACAATGTTTATACACACAGACTTCGGACACAATATCAGGAGGGAATATTCTTGGGAAAAGGACCACATTCATGTTGAAGTACAGGGTCACCAAGATGGACTAACATTGTGATTATAACAATGGAATCAAACATGGCAAAGCCTATGAGGATGGTGCAGGACAAGGCACTGTTTCATTCTATCGTACTTAGCGGCTCTATGATTTGCAGCCAATTCAATGAAAGCTAACAACA